TCTCTTCATTTCTCGAAGAAAGAAAAAATAGTACCATCTACAATTTGCAAATAAGACACTACAACTCTCTCACTCCCAATCACAAAACCATCAAGAAGGTTACACCTTTGTGCCTTCTTTGAATCTCTATAAGCATAGTTAAACCATCTACCACTAAAATGAATAAGAAAGGTGACAACGGTCCCCTTCTCTCAACCATGTAGAAGCCTCAAATTTATCCCTAGACTTTCCATTCAAAATGACTAAGAAATTCAGACTCCAAGCGACCCCGTCCACTTCCAGCACTTGTTTCCAAACCCTTTCACTTCCATAAGTAAATCAAAAAAAATTCAATCTACATGGTCATAAGCTTTTTCAAAATCAATCTTCAATACTTTAACCTCCTCTCTTCTAACTCTAGAATCTTCAATAGTCCATTAACTACAAAAGCCACCTCGACAATATGTCTCCCTCTCTCAAAAGTCCCCTGAAACTTCGAAATAATAGCACTTAAACACTCCTTGAGCCCAATTGGAAAGACTTTGGCAATGATCTTGTACAAACCAGTAACTAAACTAACAGGTCTAAAGTACTTTAATTTCATGGAATTAACTTTTTTGGGAATTAGGCAAATGAAAGTGACATTTGTAATTGCATTCACCACACCTTTATGAAAGAATTGCTGGAAAAACCTTCATAAAATCATCATTTACGTCATCCCAACAAACCTGAAAGATTGTCATGGTAAACTCATCTAGAACCTGAGCTTTATTCTTATTACATTCAAAAATAGTCTTCCAAACTAACTCCATCTCAAAAAGTCTTTGTATCCACCTAGCAACTCTTTCATTCATAGGATACCACTCAAGACCTAATAATGATGGCCTAGGACAATCAGTGGCAGAATAAACTTTTGTAAAGAATATAACCATCTCCTTTTCAATTAAAGCTGAGACTCTAATCCAACTTCACACATTGGAGAAGACGATCAATCTTAGAGATCCACCAAAATCCATTGAAGTTGTGTGCAATCCGAGGGTCTTGGGTGTGTGCTAGAAGATTGCTCGAAGAACCCCAAATAATTCACAGAGTTAGTGGATTAAGTTTGGTGACCGCCAAGTGGTTCCCCATCATTTTCCCGAGGAGGATTTCCACATCAACAAAATTGGTTGTATTCTTTATGTCTGTATTTCTTATACATTTGCGATTCATGCACACACACAAACTATATGTTTGATAGTTTGACTATTTATCTTTCAATTCATTAAAAGTGGTTTTGGTGATTGAGGCTTTGATTGGGATTTGTGTCTTGGTGAATTTGAGTGCTAATCAACAAATTGACAAATCTATAAATCCATTCACATGACAGGTTTGAGGAATTCTTGTTGAAAGAAAAAAAGTATCACCACAAAATAGCAAAACTCCCCATTTAAATCGTATAAATTAGCTTAGCTCGATTTTTAGTTGTTTAAGCTCACTCATAGCATAATATTAACTGAATCTCACTAATTATCCAACTTCGCTTTGAGCGCCTTTGAGATAAGATGCAGTCCTAGAAGTTTATTCCTATTCAACATGAGGCCTACTATCTCTTTTCTTACAAATAACACCTTATCACATTCGGAAGGGGGAAGAGCACAATTATCATTTCAGTTTTTTTCATTCTTCCCCACTCAATTAATCCTCTCTCCCACTTAGTTGATCTCTTTCCAATTAATCATTTCCCTTTCTATCTTTTACTCTCCAATCAAGGGATCAAAACGGTCAAGATGTTTCCATTTTCAAGGAAACCAAAAAGAATCTGTGATTGAATCAAAATTTTAATACTTCAAGGTGTATCAAAATATTTGTAGGTGTTTCAAGAGGTTTCAGCATGTCTTCACCAATATTTCAGAATATTTAGAGGTGTTTCAAAGATGTTTCTGTATATTTCAACCAATGGTTAATTATGTTTTTCCCAATTTTTTATCCGTTTCTTTTCACCCTACTTGCGATGCGTTTCCGAAATGTTTTCGTTCTCTATTTGTCAAAAAAAATGCACTGAAACAAATTTTTGGTCCTTGTCTCCAATTCTTTCTCGACTCTAGTTTATCTTTTCTATAAGGATCTCATTGCAAATGCTACCCATCACCACCACGATCGCCAAAGACCCAAAATCATCATTTAGCCAAAAACTAGATTAAATCGATACATCCTCTACGTCGACAAAACATAAGTGGTTTAGTGATGGAAATGTAAGAAAGGAAAATACCGAGCATTTTGGTTCGAAGCTTCGAGATGATTGCAATTTTGCGTGGCTTTATTTATGAACTTATATTTGGATCTCTTGGAAATTTATGTGCAAATTGTTGCTTTGGCTTTTGTGGTGTTTGATTCTTAGATTGGTGATTAGGGATCTGAGATTAGTGTATTTGGGATTCAATTTGCAACTGCTTGAGCAATAATCTGAGCTTGGTAGTTGAGCTCAAATTGAGCTTGAATGTCCCTTCAACAACTCAAGTTGAGCCTAATTACACAAAAACTTGGCTCGACGAACACCCCAACTAAAATTTCATTTCAAAGTAAGTTCCTACTACCAAAATAGCGATAAACAGAAAAAATGCAAAAAAAAACAGCTAAAAGGGATAATATATAATACAGGAGGCCAATTCGAAACAAAAACTAAGACCAAAGATCTACACAAGGTTTTTCCGTTTGTCTATCTCATAAGCATTGTCAATCAATCCACCAGCTGTAAATAAATAATAACGCAAAAACAATTCAATAAAGCTCAAACAAAAGAAGGCATATCACGCCAACTACATGAATTCATTTGCAAGCTTAACAACACTATCTCCCAATGTTCCGAAAAAAAAGGCGTTATTTAACGTCTGTTCATGGTAGATTTGAGTGTTGCAGAATCTGTTACACCCCAGCTTAATGGGAAAATTTTATTTCACAACTTAAAGTGCAACTATAGGTCAGCAATGGCCAAATGAGTTAACATGGCCGGAGATCCAAACTACAAAAGCCTAATTCAATCCAAAAACCAAATTTAACATTTCAAGTAATTCGGCAAGTGGAATTTACTTATTTGTGGAGTCTAAAGAGTAAAATATAGTCCTTTTGTCTTAAAGATCAGTTATAGAAGAAATGGAGGTGTTGTTTGGCAATAGCTATGAAGGTAGGGCTTCAACTGCTGGTGTTTTCTTTTTTTTTTTTTTTTTTTTTTTTGGGGGGGGGGGG